CATTTTAGTAGTGTTTTTATTTGTTATTCACTTTTATGTTTTTGTTTGTTTTGTCTGTTTTTTGTTTGTATTTTATTTATCTGTTTTTTGTATTTGTGTTTGTTTGTTTTTATTTGTTTGAGTTTCGTTTTTATTTATTGATTTTATTAGTTTTTTTGTTTGCTTATTTGTGATTGTTTTTTACTTTTTATTTATTTGTTTGTTTCCTTTTTTATTTATTTTTTGTATGTTTTTTTATGTTTTGTTTGTATTTCTTTTTGTTTGGTTTTATTTGTTTTTGTTTGTGTGTTTTTTATATGTTTTTTGTTTGTTTTTTATTTATTTGTTTTTATTTGTATTTTCTGTTTTGTTTGGTTTTATGTTTTTTGTTGCTTGTGTGATTTTATTTTTATTTATTAGTTTTTGTTTGTGTAATTTTTTTAATAATTTGTTTGTTTTTTGTTTGTTATTTTATCAGTTTTTGTTTGTTTTTTATTTGTTTTTTGTTTGCATTTTTTTATTTTGTTAGTTTTTATTTTTCCTGTTTGTGTGTTTGTTTGTTTTATTTGATTTTCTTTGTTTATTATTATTTTTTAATGTATATTTATTTTTCTACATAATTTAAATGTTTATAGATGCAACTGGGGAATTGGTTTGCAGGGTTACTAAAAAAAGAAAAAACGGTATGCGTCATGGCTAACATGTCTCCTCAATAAAAACACTTTAATTCATTCAATAACACCGGATGAATAAAAACAAAACTTTACATTAAGCATAAAAAAAACATTTTTACATAAAAAATAACATAAGCTAAAGAAAAATAATCTGATAAAAAGTACATTCACTATCATAAAGAATCATTATGATGAGTAATAAATAAATTATAAATGAATTTAGAGAATATAACATCTTTAGAAATGTTCACACACCAAAACAAAGCTTAAAAGAGTTTGTTTCTTAAGTTTGCCTATTTAAATAATTCTTTGAATCACAATTCGATGTGCATTTTTAGATTTTCACTAGTTTATTTTGTCATTTTTGATCAGGTAAGGTACCAACAGTAAGGTACCAACAATAATTATATGTATTCATTTAGAACTATAATTATACTAAACTCTAAGTGTGTGTGTGTGTGTGTGTGTGTGTGTGTGTGTGTGTGTGTGTGTGTGTGTGTGTGTGTGTGTGTGTGCATTTAATTTACATTTATTTATATAGGGCTTTTCTCAATAAATATTGTTCTTAAGCAGATTCATAAAAGCACACACATCACTAGGGGACAGTCAAAATCAGAAAAGTTAAGGAGTTGTGTAAAAGGTTGGCAGTATGTTAATCTCTAGTTATACAGTGTATTTCATTTCAAGAGAAATAAGGTGTATATTCTATGTTGATTGCAATTAAATTTACTGTTGTTTAAATAATACTAATTTTAGTTAGCTGATGTGCATTTTAACACGCATATACAGACTAAAGTATGTTTTTTATTTGCACTTTTTATTTTATTATGTATGTATTAACTTTTTTATTTTGTTTGTTTGTTTGTAGGTAGTGCGAGCTAAAGAGCGTCTGGATGAAGAGCTCAGCATAAATCAGCAACAACAAACAAAAAATAAACCTGCAGATGAACAGCAGCAGCAAACATGAGCTCCATCCTCATCCCCCACTGTAATTATCACCCAAACCCCAATAAAACATGCTCCTTTTCTACACTCACTTCTTAATCTGCTCCTTATTCTGGACATTATGCAAATGTGTCGTTACTGTTCTCAACATCTAGAATGTTTGTGGAAACTTTTAAATATATTTAAAGTACATTTGAAGCCCTCCTGTGAAATTTCAATTTCTTTTTCAAATATTACCCAAAGAGGAATACATTTTCACAGAAAGAATTTTCACAGTATTTCCTATCATATTTTTTCTTCTGGAGCAAGTCTTTTTTGTTTTATTTCGGCTAGAATAAAAGCTGTTTTAATTTTTTTTTAAACATTTTAACATCAATATTATTAGCCCCCTTAAGCTATATTTTTATTTCAAATGACAGAGCAAACATCATTATACAATGAATTGCCTCATTACCCTAGCCTGCTTAATTAACCTAGTTGAGCCTTTAAATGTCACTTTAAGCTGAATACTTGTGTCTTGCAATTTAACTAGTAAAATATTATGCACGGTCATCATGGAAAAGATAAATCAGTTATTAAAACTATAATGTTGGAAAAAAAATATTTTTAACTATTAGAAAAAGGATGAAATATTCACAGGAGGGCTACTAATTTAAGGCGGATTTATACTTGTGCGTCAAGCGCACGCGGATGCTCAGGCGCAGCCTACGCGTGGATGCATAAGTCCTCGCCGTGTCGGTTGGCGACGCTGATGCGCATCTCTCAAAAAATGTAACTACACGTCGCAACGATGCGTAGCGCAAGCTGTTTTTGTATGGCTTGATAGCGATTACAAGTGTGGGCGGAGGTGAGAGCCCTGCGAGCCCAATGGAGCGAGTGTTTACACGTGTGGAGTCTTTTGAAAGAGCTCCAGATGAAAACTGTTGTTTTGTGTTTACCTTATGATTAAATTTGTTGCTCGTTCGCCAATTCCCTCCTCAAAATGAGCAAGTTTGAGCCACTTGTACATTAAGGAAGCATTCAGAAAAACAAAACACTAGCGAAGAAACTTGATTCATAAATGTCTTCTGCCAGCTATAGCGTTTTGGAAGTGTTATTGCTCTGCAAATACAAACAGCACGCAGAAGTATAAATGCACAGCTATGCGCATTGCATGCGCCATGGGTCACGCCGATCACTCTGTAGAAGTATAAACCACGCTTTAGTCTTCAACAGTATGGGGTGAATAGGTCTCTTAATCTCACCAATCTCACTAACTCATTCTGAATGATCCTAAAAACCCTCAACTACTCTTAAATACAACTGGTTTGTAAATAATGCAATACTTAATTTAGTAATGAAAAATTAATCAATTGCTAAGTATAAAAGTACACTTATTAAGCACATTATAAATGTGGTTATAAGTCAAGAGTACAGCATTTGTATCTGCAGTTATAAACTGCTTACTAACGTTTATTAATGTAGAGTCAATGCTTAACGGATAATGAATTCACTATCTGCTAATGCTTAATAAATGATTTATAGTGTGTAGTAATCATAAAGTGTTACCGAAAACACTTATAATAGATTTACATTAGACAAATACTGTTTGTTTGTTTGTTTGTTTATTTATTATTTGTTTGTTTATTTTTTATTTATTTGTTAATTTATTATTTATTTATTATTTATGTGTTTGTTTGTTTGTTTATTATTTATTTATTATTATTTATTTATTTAATATTTGTTCATTTATTTATTAATTTATTCTTTTTTTTCAGTTTAAAATTATTACTTGTTTAAATGTCAGAAACTTTTTTTCACTTATTTTTAAGTCCAGAGAGAAATGGACTATTGTTTGTTCATTATTATCATTTTGTGTTGTACAGTATTAGTTGGTTACTGAGCAGCAATAAATGACACTTTAAAATATAAGGAGTTTTCATGTGATTTTAGAAACTAGTAGTTTTTAAAATCAATGAATGCATAATAATCAAGAAACCGTGATTATTCCTCATATAATCGTACAACCAAAAACTATAATAGTTGCATCCCTAGAGTGCTCTGGCGACGTTGTCCTGTGACTGCCGTCTCATCATCCAAGCAGATCCTGCACACTGGTTGGAGGTGTGGAGAGACCCTCTCATGATTGTAAAACGCTTTGGGTGTATGGCCACACACAATAAATGCGCTATATAAGTACACATTACTTACTTACCAGTTGTTCAAGCGTAAAGCGAGATGAAAAACCATTTAAATGTGCCATCAGGAGCAGCAGGTGAGTGCTGAAACTGCTGTGTTAATACTGTGTTAAAATAAATGTCCAGATTTTAAAGACATGGAGCAGAACAATGGAGTTTAGTGCAGTGCTTAGTGTCTGGTGTGAGACCCATTTTAAATGGTATCTCATCCAGGCAGTGAAGATTATTGATTTTCTACAAAAACCAGGTCTCAAATGTGGTGAGCTTATAATGGCATGACAGTTCACAGGAAGCGCTTGAGCTGACTTAATCCAAATTAAAAGTCCCTGTGCACATAGCCCATTCAGTTTCTAGTGTCACATGAGTCCTAGAAATCATGCTTACATAATGCTCAAGAAAGCTTTCCGATTATCAGTGCTGAAAATTAATATTTTTGCAGATATTGTGTTACATTTTCTTTAAATTGTTTAATTATAAAGTTTAAAAAAATCTGCTGTACATGCATTAAAAACATCTATACTGTTATTTGTGATCAATTCAATGCATCGTTGCTGAATAAAAACATGTATTTCTTTTATAACAAATTTGCCCACTCAAAATTTTCATACAGTACATTGCTGTATCAGCAATATTTCAGGTTATGAGGTAGATCACCACAGGAAAGTCATTTAAAGTGCACTGTACTGAAGATCTGGGTATACCAAGGTAATAGGCATAGTAGAATAATACAAGATCAGTATATGGAAATGGGCATACTGTGAGCCTCAGACACTGTTTCATCACTGGGCCATCCCTTCTGCATTTCCATCTATGCCTATTTTTGGGTCGTCCGTCCAGATGTGCAGCCATGTCTTCAAGCTTTGAGATTATAAAAAACTTTGACGCCTCTTGCTCCGTTTGATAAGCAACAACGTTTCCTAATGAGCCAACATTAATATTTTTTTCCCCCTTTGTTGTTTTAAGCATATATTTCACTTACTATGTACGGGACTTTTATTTTGAAAACGTGAGCGCCAATTTGTTTGCTTTACGCTACTGGGCAATGACTGAGTTTACTTTAGAATCTCTGTTATGCTCCTTTTTTAATTCTACTCAAACAGATGGGAGGGCTAACAAAATCAATGCATCGTCTTATCTGAGGTCAAGAGTTAAAACTAAATATTTCAGCCCTCTGTACAGGAACATACTAAAGATTCAGGGGAAAAAAGACACAAGCAAAGCAAAGTGTATCAAATGCAAATTTATTAAACATTTGTTTCGTTTATTTTTCATTGACGTCCTTATCAATATCGTAATAAAATTCCTCTAAAACAGGAGATCACACACCTATGTTGTACCAACTGGAGACTTTTACAGCTCTAAAATCCTGCATGTTCAGCGTTAGAACATGACGCTGGGAAAAAATATATATATTTTATTTTTTTTATACATATATATTTATTTTCATATACTGTATTACATCTACATTTCAACTATAATAAAAGGCACTTGGAAAAAAAAATGAAAATACTGATATTAAAATATCTCAAATGTGCAAAAAAGGAAAAAATAAAACCAATGCTGGCCTTATTAGGCCATAGTCCTTTGTTAACCCTTTGTGCATCTCTGTGCCACCTCAAGAATTATCCGATTGTTAGCTTCTCTTGGGAACCAAAAGTTGTCTTTATGCGGGAGCTCATTTATTTTAATTTAACTTGATCACTTAATTCATGTACCGTATATTTATATATTTTTTATATATGACATCATACCATTGATATTATTGCTTAAGTCTCATGTAGAGCGGCAGTAAATTGGGATCATTGATAAAAGCACCGCTATTTTTACATCATCACATGGTCTCCTGCAGTATGTGAAACTGTGGCCTTCTCTAGAGTGCTCAAAGGGTTAAAGGTTTAAACAGCTTATTTGATATTGAACATTGATGTAGACCTTGACAGGTCTGTGTCAGATTCAGCTTTCTCCAGCCATCGATACGAGTAAGGGAAGGTGACAAGATATTCGCAACTTTTTAAACCGCATTTCCAGTAAATCCCTCTGTCGAACCTGTGGTGATTGTGTTTGATCAATGCACGTGTAACCCTGCCAGTCCTACGCCACCCAACCCGCTCCGAGCTGGTATCGAACCGGCGACCTTCCGTATGGGAGTCAGGTGCTCTGGCAAGGAGGCTAAAGACCATGGCCTCTAGTGTCTTTCGCTAGAGCACCTTTAGAGGTCAGAGGAGTGAGGTTTACCTGCACAGAACTTACTAGCTAGCCTCCGTTACACTTACCTCCCTAAACCTCATTTCCATCCGGGTCACGGCACCAATGTAACCCCACTAGTCCTACACCGCCCAACCCGCTCCGAGCTGGGACCGAACTGGCGACCTTCCGCATGGGAGTCGGTTGCTCTAACAAGGAGGATAAAGACCATGGCCTCTAGCGTCTGTCGCTAGAGCACCTTTAGAGGTCAGAGGAGTGAGGTTTACCTGCACAGCACTTACGTGTTTGCAGGTTACCTCTCAACACTCCTAAAAGGCTTTATATTAGCACAGCGGGTCAACCTTTCTTGGCTTTAACTGAATACGTAATGCTAATCTGGGGGCATTGAAGGGGCAGTGGCCTAGTTTTGAAGCTTGGCGCATGATCAAGACATGGACAGTGGCAGTGGTTTTTCTGTTAGTGCGAACAGAGGTTAGCGTTAGCACACAGTTTCTCCACTTCCTGACCGTAATTGTTTGGCTTTTTGGTTCTTGTCAGGATCAGTTGGATGTCTCACTGGGGATCTCATACTCATGTCCTTTATGTCCCTGAGGCTAGCTAAAAAAAGGTTTTGTTTGAGTAAACCTCACTCCCCTGATCATGAGGCTCACTAGCAAGCACATGCTAGCGGCTGTGGACTTAAAGGAACACTCATTTCACATCTTCCCTAAAGAGTTAAACTTGAGTTTTACCAAGGACTCTAGAATACACCAGAAGTGTCACTCGGATATTATTGAATGGGGAAAAATGCTACGGTCAACATGGTGATTGAAGCCTACTACAGAAGCCAATCATCGATCACTATAGACCAGGTGGTGTCCAAACAAAATCCTGGAGGGCCGGTGTCTTGCAGATTTTAGGTCCAACTTGCCTCAACACACCCGCAAGATGTAATTAAGACCTTAATTAGCTATCCCAGGTGTGTCGGATTGGGTTTGAACTAAACTTTGCAGGACACCGGCCCTTCAGGACCGAGTTTGGAGACCCCTAGGGGTGAATTTCTGCAGATTTTGAGTGATTCGAATATCAATGCTATGTTCACACCAGATGCAGCACCATCGGATAAATTGCGATATTCACGCGTAAATAGATGCTTGAACATTTTGAGTTTACTCACTTCATTCGCGCATCTAATTCGCATGTAAAATTCACTTCACAATAGACGCAGATTCGCAACATGAACAGGGCTTATGTCTGCCTGGTGACTCTAGCTTCCTTGCTAAATGGCTGACATGGATTTTATTGAGTAAGTAGCTGTGGTTTATGTGCTTTAGGAAGGCTGAAAAATAGCATAGATTCGTTTTGGTCCACTAGATCCTTTCAGAGGTGCACTCAGCTTTCCTCCAGCAACTACAACCGGATGATGAAGGCTTTCAGCGGTGCTTCTGACTGAACCGAGCCCAGTTTGATAAGCTGTTGTTGGTATCAGCAAGAAAATATTTCCTCGCGACACCAGAAATTGACACATTCTACGTCATAATCGCACTCATACAAGACCAAGCTCATGATTGGTTAATGCGGCGCAAATGTCCACTGAAGTTCAGATTTTCCAACTCGAGCGATTCGTACGATAGTTAGGCTCGTTAAATGCGCAAAACAATCAAATCGCGCCAGTTATTTTAAGTGAAACACACCGCAGGGTATTTATTCGCGTAATGTGTGAACACAGCATTAGAAATGAAACCAAAGACACAGTTAATGTTTATTTTTTTTGGTGATTCCTTAAATAAAATTGAATTGTAAGCTAGGCAAGCAGTTTCCCCATTCAACACAAAGCCTGAGCATACTGGCCAAAAGGAAGTGACATGTCTTGCTTTAAAGGGACTTTTTTTAACAATTTTTTTGAGTCCATTCAGTCTATCTCTGGGTCTGGTGGGAGCACTTTTAGTTTAGCTTAGGTTAGAATTGATCATCAAGTTAGATTAGATTATAGCAGAGGCGTAGCAGACATTTTAAAAGTGGGGGGACGGCTGATTGAGATCCAAAAGTTTACGTTCAAAAAATTGTTAATCAACTGTTTCTAAATGGTGTGTCTTTAAAAGTGATCGTTCCCGCCGGTTGCTACGCCCCTGGATTATAGCATCTTGTTCAAAAAAGATCAAAGACTTTCGGTAAACTATTCTCTCATTACAGCGTAATAATCAAGAAATTTGTATTGCCGTACAATGGCATGCCGGCTGCAGCCATGGCGAAATCAAATTGAACTGAATCAATCATGATAATCGTAACTGAACTGTTTACAGCAGTGGTGCTGAACCCCGTTCCTGGAGATCTACCTTCCTGCAGAGTTCAGCTCTAACCCTGACCAAACACACCTGAACCAAATAATTAGGCCCTGAACAGCACTTGACAATTACAGGCAGCTGTGTTTGATATGGGTTGCAACTAAAATCTGCTGGAAGTAGTGTTGTGACCATACTGGAATTTCGATACCAATCAGTATTGAAACTTTAGAAACGTTCATTTCCCTTTTCACAGCAAATCAGAGTAATTTCTGTTGAGGACATGAACACAATGGGCAATCAGCGGTGTTTAGGAATGCATGGGAATTTTTCCTGCACTGTTAGCGGGAAATGGATGGCTTAAAAAATGCAGTACCGATTGGTAGTATTTTGACAACACGAGTAATGTTAGAAAGTAGATCTCCAGGAACAGGGTTGGTCACCCCTGGGATACGGCATGTAAACCTCTAGTGTTGTGGTATGGTTATGGACTAAATGTGAGGGTTACTAACTCAAATCATTCCTGCAGTAATCTTGTGTCATTTCTCCCGCTTTCCTTTCAAATGATTAGCTGGAGGAAGCTGAACATAGAGTAGCGATAGAAGAAACAAAGCAACTTCAACATCAGGAAATGTCTCGTCAGTAATAAAAACGTAAAAACAAAACAGCATCAATTGTATAGTTCTCACAAATAATAAAACAAATGCAATAAGACTCTGAGTGTAAAAATGGTTTGGAGGGGACGGTGGGGTTCATGCTTTCGGCAAGTGCGAATATTTCAGTCGGAATGTTTTACGTTACATTCACTTGTCCGTTAAAAATGCTGAACTATTAGTGGGATAATGAAAATCTCTGAAGGATGCTTTACATATATCATCTCTCTTACAGAAGGAGTTCCCCTGAGAGGACAGAGACTGTTACTTGCCTGAGGTCAGGAGACGAGATTTAATCTGACTGAGGTCCTGATTGTGACAGGTCGATCTATGTATGATGGCTTTAGTGGAAAGTTTTGGAGTGTTGCAGCAACTTCATGTTAGCAGGAGTATTGCTGAGAACAACAGACTTTGATGCAGTGGATCTTAAAGCATTACCCTTCAGCCAACTAAATAGTGCTTGAAAAAGTCCCTAATTCAGTTTCTGGGTATACCTTAAGATTTTTAGCACAGTGGGATAAACTATGAAAGCAAAATTGTCATACCAAATTATAGGTGATAGATAATGGTTATTTAAAAGTTCGCTATTTTGCAAGAACCAAAGGTTTCTTGTTTTATCCTGCAATGCTAGTATGCTGCAAAGCAGGACAATACTGTTAAATGTTGCCCTTGGTGCAGCTAGTCATGTACAGTACAACTGATGACCAGAAGATGGCACTATTTACAACAGTGCCATGTGCCATGGGATGTTAGCATGACCGCTAGGTGGGTTTGTGCCCTTGTGTGACTTAAAACTCAGCCAGTCTGAGTTTTGTGTCTGTAAATCTATTTAACAAAACAGAGCTAGTCAAGGTTTCTATTTCCTCCCCTTCTGAGGACAGATTGTCATTCATACTTTAACTAGTTTTATTCAAATGTGTATGCTTACATTGCAGTTATACAGCTAGCAGCAAATGCAAGGTTTGTCATTTAGGTTCCAATAGCATTGAAGCTAAAGAGTTTCACTTGCAAGGTATGCAAAGGGTACCTGCTGACTTAGGTGGGAAAGGTCTGAAACAGGGGTGTTTAATTGTACTCCTGAAGGGCTAAGTCAAAGAGTTTAGCTCTTGCCCTAATTAAACATCTAAACTTGCTACTCAAGATATTCATGATCACCACAAGGTAGTCAGATGACTAGGTGCTAAACACTGTAGGAAAGTGGGATTTCAGGAGCAGGACTGTTCTGACGGGTACACCAAATGCTGATTGTCAGCATGCAAACAAGATTCTCTTGCCTAATCTACAACTTAAGCTTGCACTTGCAAACCTAACCTGACCTAAAGGCTCGAAGATCTCTAGCTTGTTACACTTTTGTTGTAATGCACGGAATGGCTTGAAGATCAATTGCTTAAGAATAATAGCATATGGTTGTCTCTTTAGTGTGTTGTACACTGACGCAAAGAGTTTCTCTTACGCATAAATACACAGAAATGGTCTCTTGATGTAAGGGCACAAATTCATAAGTCTGACATTGTGGCAGTGTGCTAATTTAAACAGAAAAGTAAGCTGTACTTATGACATCCAGTTCTGCTTCTGGAGGGACACCTTTCAACAAAGACCGGGGATGGGTAACTCTGAACATCAAGGTCCTGCAGAGTTTAGTTCTATGCCTGATCGAACTAACATGACTTTCCCAATCTTGAAGATGTTAATTGGCTTGTTTAGTTGTCCTTAGTTGCAGTTAGAACTAAATGTAACACAGGACAGTGGCCTACCTTGGTTTAGCCACAAGCCTAACTAAAAATACTTGAATCAAGATCTTCATGATTACCTGAACAACCAAGAAGTTGTATTGTAGCAACCTAGAAATAATTTCTGCAGAAAGGTGACCCTCTAGGAGCAGGATTAAGCACCCCTGGTAATAGCATAAGCCAGAAAGAATAAAAATGTAATGGAAGCTAACGTTTAGCCTATTTCTGATGTTTAAGCTAATTATTTTCTTTTTAAAACCCATAGCTATTACCAGAAGAAATAGGTAGTAGTGTGTGTCTGAAGAACATGGTGTCACTTCCAAGCAGAACTGCAAATGCTTTGTGAAACCCCCCACAGGCTTGCCTCTGACCTCTGACTCCTATTCTCCCCCCGCACTTCCCCTGCCATTCCTCTGGAATGTGGTGCTCAGTTGACCACAGCTGGCTTCAGCACAACTGGGCCAGAGGGGATGACCACCCAAGACAGGGGGTCGTGGGATGCTCCCGTAGACAGGTTGAGTACACCACCGTGGATCTCATCCTCGCCCTCCTCTCCTCTGATCTTGCCCTTGCCATGGTCCCTGCGCTCAGAGCCCAGGATGGGCAGCATGGGTAACCCAAGCGTGGAAGATGAAAAGGAAGGAGACAGCAAAGGTGACTTGGTCAGGCCTAGAGGGGAACTGCTGAAGGACAGAATAGGTGTCCCTCCAAGCCCAGCAGTAGGGGAGTTTGGGCAGCCAAGTGTGCTCAAGTCCAAGGGGCGGGGACTGAGGGGGGACAGCGGGAGGGAGCCTCCGAGACCCTGCAGAGCGTGACCACCAAGGAGAGCAGCGGCAGCACTAGGAATGATGATGTGAGCCCCGCTGACATAAGTCAGCTCCGAATCTTTCCCCACCCCAGCAATCTGGCTCTGCTTTATCAACGAGCCCACCCCACCTCCCTGCTCCTGGGCTACAAAGTGCCCATGAGCCTTGATATGCTTCCTCAGGGAGCTGGGGTCCGTGTAGCGTTTCAAGCATCCCACCATCTTGCAGTAGTAGGGCTTGTCCACATAGTGCGTGCGTGTGTGTTTGAACCGGTCGCTGGAATTGGAGTAGCGTTTATTGCAGCCTTCGTAAGGGCAGATGTAGGGCTTCTCACCTAAAACACAAGTACAGAGACAGTAAGGTCAGGCTGCCTCCATCCAGATGTTTACCTAGCATGCAGTGACACTGACCTGTGTGTGAGCGGTTGTGAATCTTGAGGTTTTCCAGTCGGGAGAAGCTCTTATTGCAGGTGGGACAGCGGTGAGGTTTCTCATTGGTGTGAGTACGGATGTGAATCAGCATCTTGTACCTAATAAGCAAGACATTAGATGTATGATGTTACTAGCGAACTTGCTGCATTTAAGATCTGCATCAAAACACATTGTGCCACATGTCTTTATGAAATTGAAAATGGAAATTTTCAGCTGACTTAAAAACATTCCATGCGTATGGTCAATTGAATATTATGTGTTTTTTTTTTGCGTTCAAACATACCAATATTATACTTTATTTATATTTTTTATGTACTCTGGTGATATACTAAGAAACTGTTTTATAAGTTATCAGGAAATGTGATTCCTACTGGGTTTTGGGTAAACATGCATCTGTATTGACAGACAGAACAGGCTACAATAAACACACCTGGCATTAAACCCCCGTCCTTTGCGTGCACACCCTTCCCAGTGGCAACAGTAGCCAGAATCCTTCTCTGGCTTCACATGGAAGTCGTTGACATGATCCACCAGGTCTTGCAAGGAGTCGAAAAGTAGGTGGCACTGTGAAAGCAACATCCACAATGAGCTCTTGTAGGAAAACGTGTGGTAAACTGCTTTATTACATATCTGTCTGGAATACTTGATTTTGATTAGTAGGTATGTTATTCCCAGATAACAACCAATGAAATTAATAATACAGACTCATCCGGGTACTTCGAATCATCTTGAGCATCAGTGAATATGTTTACATTTATAATTTTTGGCTTGTTTGACATGTTTTTTTGAATGTTTGGAGCCCTCTTGTGACTGAATAATGCGTAGGTTAGTGTATGCTCCATTCATCTGTTTTTGTTGGCATTTAAGAAATAATGAATAAACAGACTTCATACATATAGTACATATATAGTATACATATATATCACTGACAGCCCAAATTTAGCCTTGATTTAGCTAATCTGTCTATGTTTAGATGTCTATTAGACTAATTTAAATGTAAAAATCCTTGCTGAGTTACTAGTTTTGTATCTAGTTTTCATGTTTGGTGGCAATACCAGAGTAATAAGCTGAATTAAGTACATCCAGGCGGTTGTTATTTTAGGTTATTACTCCGCTGAAATACTTGATTGTGATTGGTTAGTTGTGATATAACAAGGTATGTTATCCCGAGATAACAACCGCTAAATAGCATAAGCTTATCCAGGAACTTCGAATCACCTTGACCATCAGTAAATATATTAAAAACCATGTAGGTACTTGCACAGTTTTGGACAGTTTCTAATTGTTTTCACCACCATTTTGTGACTTAATAGTGTACAAGTTTGTCAGCTTTGCATTTTCTTACAGAATTAACAAACTATTAAGGCTCAGAACAACAATTGTGTACTTGATTCTGATTGGTCAGTCATGAAAGATCCCGAAATAGTGTCCGTAAATGCGTTCTAATCCAAGTACTTAAATTCACATGTATCTGTTTGCCTGTCACGCCACCATTTTGGACAGTTGTTGATTGTTTTTACTGCCATTTTGTGACTGAATATCAACTGAAATACCAACTGAAAGTTGGTGTATACTCCATCAGCTGTTTTCATTTGCATTTAATTAAAGAATTAACAAACTGTTAAGGCTCAGAACAAAGTTTTGTGTCTGATTTTTATGTTTTGTAGCAAGTAGCCATGTAATGAGTTGAATAAGGTACATCGAGACAGTTATTGCAGGTTATTACACCACTGTCTGAAATACTTGATTCAGATTGGTCAGTCATGAAAGATCCCGAGATAACAACTGCTAAATAATGTAGGCTTATCCGGGCAATTTGAATCATCTTGACCATCAGTAAATGCATTCAAATCACATTCACAGGTATCTGTCTGTCATGGTTTTGGACAGTTTTGAATTGTTTTTGTGCCATTTTGTGGCTGAATAATGCACAAGTTAATGTATACTCCATCAGCTGTTTTGGTTTTTGTCAGTTTTGCATTTGATTAAAGATTTAATAAACTATTTTGGATTCGAAATATGTTTTGTGTTAATTTTGTAAATTTTATGGCGAGTAACCTTGTAATATGTTGGATAAAGTACTTTCCGACGGTTGTTTTTGCAGAATAAAGCCCTTCAGTCTTATACAACAGTGCTTTGCATTGGGCTGCTGATAAGAATGTCATGCTTCATTCTGCAATGGATTTACTTTATCCCTTACTCAATCTCACCTTCCTCCAGCGACAGGCCAGCTGTTCATCTGCGGAAAGATCTGGAGAAGCTCTGGTGTCTTTAGGCTGCCGAATAAACATGGACGAGGGCAGGTGAAGGCCTCCTCCTGCTCCGATGGGCACAAAGAACTGGAATGCTTGAGATGTGGCTCCTCCTTCAACATAGCGGATATGAGCTGAGTCCTGCAGGATGCAAACAGAGAACAGGCAAACATAACTCAAGCCTCTTTATCTTTTTTTATGGCAGGATAGCTATTCTACAACCCCAATTAAAAAAAAAAAAAAAAAGTTGGGGCAGCATGGAAAACAAATAAAAATGAAAGTACGGATTTCTAAAGTTTTTTTTTTTTTTAATAATTATTTTTTAGGGGTTTTTCACCTTTATTTTGATAGGACAGTAGAGAATTCAGACAGGAAAGCACTGGGAGCAGAGAGAGGGAAAGGATCGGCAAAGGACCTCGAGACGGGAATCGAACCCGAGTCGCCACGAGCACACTGGTGCTATATGTCAGCACGAAGAACCACTAGGCTACCGCGTCGACTCTAAACTTACTTTGACTTACATTTAATTGCAGACAATACAACAAACTTTATTTGATGTGCTCCTCATGATTTTTATTTTTAATTATTTTAATAAACACATAGTCCGATATTGATTCTTGCAACCAATTTCAAAAAGTTCGGAACAGTAAAGCATTTATCACTTCGTAATGTTGCCATTCCTTTTCACAACAATTAAAAGACGTTTAAGAACTGAAGACACCAAGTGACAAAGTTTTTCAGGTGTAAATTTTGTCCCATTGTTCCTGCAAACAAGTCTTAGGCCCCGTTTACACTAATGCGTTTTAGTTTTAAAACGTATAAGTTTTGCTACAGATGCGCCATCCGTTCACACTACGCCGAAGTTCTCGAGCACCAAAAATGGAGCATTTTGGAAACGCTTGAGAGGCCGTTTTCATTCTAAAACACTGCTGCTCTGTCTTAGTGTGGATGAGGAAAAACTGAGACATCTGAAAACGGAGGCGGGACTGCTGAGATTCCCTACCTAATTGGGGCTTTTGTGTCATTGCGTATCCTTCCCTTATTCGTCAAGCCTCTATCACATGACTATAACACATGGCTTTTACGCTACCGGAAGACAGTACTGTAAAAAACAACCTGGGCACGGAAATGGGAGCATTGTTTGGACTATTGTCTGTTCTAGGCGCCATTGTGCAGTTATTCATTTGTAACGTTTAGTAAAAACTCGACCTCGTCGTCTTTCTTTGCCATCCCGTTTAATGTTCAGCCGGCGTTTGTAGACTAACAATGACCAAATGCCGAGCGAGACGCATGCTTTCTGTTTATACTAGAACGCGCATCCCCAGAGTGCACGGATAGTCACGTGATATACGTTTTTGGTGGCGTAGTGAGGACGGAGATATGTTCAGAGACGCTAGGTAAAACGCTAGTGTGGACACGGATCGTTTTTGATCTAAAACGCCGTTTTAAAACTAAAGTGCACTAGTGTAAACGGGGCCTTAAGGTTGGCAACAGTAAGGGTCTTTGTTGTCACATTTGTGCCACACATTCTCTATTGGAGACAGGTTAGGACTACTGGCAGGCCAGTCAAGTACCTGTAGCCCCATTGTTTTTTAATATTTCAATAATTTTCTCAGGTATTTGTTGGCAAACTGGTAATCCTCGGCCCATCTTTGCTCCTAAAGGACTAGACGTTTCGTGGATGCTGCTTTTGTATCAAATCATAGTTACATTCACCTGTTGACATCTCCTGTTTCAAATCAAAGCATTGTTATTTAACCAATTTACCTGATTACAAGCCGTAATCTGCTCCTGTCAACTTTTTTTTGTGTAGCAAGAACCAAAATTGCAACACCAGTTTATTTTGAAGAAAAATGTAAATCACGACGACCACATTAAATAACGTTAGTTGTATTGTCTGCAATGAAATAGAAGCAAAAGTAAATTCGCAAATCGCTACTTTCTTTTTCTATTTGCGCTTTCCATACTGTCTCAACCTTTTCTGATTTGGGGTTGTAGTAATAGCTGTTAAACTGACAGTAACAGGAGCTACAGGGGGTCCGTGTTCAGTAATCGGCCTCTCAGCGGGAGCCTCTTATGAGTGTTTTGCTCCTCGTCCCAGTATTTCTGCCCCCCAGCTGTGCTGATCTGAGCACTTTACGCTCAACCACAGATTTTGAGACATTAATGAGAGAAAGCGAAATAGCAGGACACCAATGTTGAACAAAGAGTCTAATGCATGGGGCTTAGTTTTTGAGTTTTTTTAGATTGTAGAGATAGATACTGTTAAAGTCAAATGATTTAATATAGCTTTCTATCCAAATCTGGGTCCCATTTCAATAATGTGGTTCCTTTTTATCTTAGGGCCTAAGTGCTGTGTGCAGTTATATACTGAATTCATTCTGGGTTTAGATTTTTTCGTCAAATAGAAACAATTTGTTTGTGCTGGTCTGATGCAACTATGCTCCTGTATACCTCCTGTCTGTCTGACTGCAGGTTTATTCAGCGTCAGGCAAGCAGTGGTCATACAGGTGCAAACGGGTATATGTTGACAATCCAGAATCGTAATCGCAGTACAGGCAATAGGTCGTAAGGCAGGCGGCTAAACAGGATAACAAGGATACAAGGCTAAGGTCTAACACGGAGAAACAAGACAAGGAAACGCGTAGTAAAGTCACACTAGGGTAAACAAGACTGATGAGGGTGAGTGAATGAGTGGTTTATGTATGGCATGTTATCAGTCTCTGACAGGGTTCAGCTGGTAAGTGCAGTCAAGCAGATGAATGAGCATGGCAGTCTGCATGTATGAAAATGTAGTCCTGGGAAATGCGGAAGTGTAGTCCTGGTGTTCGTGTGAGAACCAGCGATCTCTGGAAAGCGATCGCTGGTTGTGGGACAGTCTGTCTGTCTGTATATAATGTACTCACCGGCCACTTAATTAGGTACACCTTACCATTACTGGGCTGGACCCTTTTTGCCTTCAGAACCGCCTTAATCCTTCGTGGCATAGACTCAACAAGATAGTGGAAATATTCCTCTATCCATAGTGACATAGATAGAGTAACTATATATGGACACAACTATTTGGTCCATAGTGACATGATAGCATCATGCAGTTGCTGCAGATTTGTCGGCTGCACATCCATGATGTGAATTTCCCATTCCACCACATCCCAAAGGTGCTCTATTGGATGACATCTGGTGACTGTGGAGGCCATTTGAATACGGTGAACTCATTGCCATGTTCAAGAAACCAACCTGAGATGATTCGGGCTTTATGACACAGTGCTTTATCTTGCTGGAAGTAGCCATCAGAAGATGGGTACACTGTGGTCATAAAGAGATGAACATGGTCAGCAACAATACTCAGGTTGGCTGGGTATGACTTGATGCCCAATTGGTACTAATGGGCCCAAAGTGTACCAAGAAAATATCCCCCACACCATTAAATCACCACCATAAGCTTGAACCACTGACACGAAGCAGGATAGATCCATACTTTCATGTTGTTGACGTCAAATTCTGACCCTACCATCCAAATGTCGCAGCTGAGACTCATCAGATTAGGCAACATTTTTCCATCTTTTATTGTCTAATTTTGGTGATCCTGTGTAAATTGTGGCCTCAGTTTCCTGTTCTTAGCTGACAGGAGTGTGGTCTTCTGCTGCTGTAGCCCATCTGCCTCAAGGTTGGATGTGTTATGCGTTCAGAGATGCTCTTGGTTGTAACGAGTGGTTATGTGAGTTACTTTAGCCTTTCTATCAGCTTCAACCTGTCTGGCCATTCTCCACTGACCTCTGGCATCAACAAGGCATTTGCTCTCTGTAAACCCTAGAGATGGTTGTGCATGGAAATCCCAGTAGATTAGCAGTTTCTGAAATACTCAGACCAGGCGTCTGGCACCAACAACCATGCCACGTTAAAAGTCACTTAAATCACCTTTCTTCCCTATTCTGATGCTCGGTTTGAACTGCAGCAGATCGTCTTGACCATGTCTAAATGCATTGAGTTGCTTCCATATGATGGGCTGATTAGAAATTTGCGTTACAGTTGGACAGGTGTACCTAATAAAGTGGCCAGTGAGTTTATATGGAGAAGAACTGCTTAATAATGTTGTTATTGATTGAAATAAAGATGACAATTGAAAAAAAATATTTTATATGTGTAAAAAGTCATCTTGGCAGGTGAAGTAAAAATGTTAACGTTGAATAAATACAGTTCGTCAAACTGAAATTGCTTAAATGTATGAAATGACAACTAAAATAACAAAAATAAAAGCTAATTCAAAACAACGATAATATATTTGACCTATTTCTATAGCATTTATAGAACTACTTTAGTTGATCGTGCTTTCTCAGATGGGCATGATCAGGAAAGTCTGACGACCATGGGTTCAGGGTTTCTTTTACAATCTCTAACCTTAAGTATATAACCAACAGAAATGGTGATGCTTAATTGGAGGAAAGACAATGGTGGTTTTGACCGGCCGTTTTAGGAAGGTTTCAGCTATGTGAGAAATGTGCATGGAGAATCATGTCAAATGACCCTCGGCGGTGCATCATCTGAGAGCTGGCCACTGTTCAGGCGTCCCGAACGCACAGAAAGCCATGCATCTCGTACCCAATTCAATTTGGAGCGAATTGAATTAAAGCAGAAAGAGTTCTGTGTGGCCGTACCTCGCTGAAAATCTGATTTGAGCTCCGTCAGCCCCACGCACGGAGGAAGAGAGACACTTTTGTGGAGGGACACAGGGGGTTATTTGATAAGAAATGCCACATTTGGGTTATCTAGGCCAGCACATCTCATAAAGTCTCGCTCGTGTTGAGGAAAGATGCTCTATTTACACTTTGGCTGCATTTACACTGCAGATCCTGATGGTCAGCTCCCATTTTGTTACTCTTTCCACTGCTTTTCCCCCATGTATATCGTTTAAAATCAGCTCATATCTGATATCTGTATTAATGCTGCACACAAATTTTTTAATAATTAGCACTGGTTCGAGTCCCCACTAGGCCAGTTGGCATGCAGTTTGCATGTTCTCCCTGTGTTGGCGTGGGTTTCCTCCGGGTGCTCCGGTTTCCCCCACAGTCCAAACACATGCGCTATAGGCGAACTGGATGAACTAAATTGGCTGTAGTGTATGAGTGTGTGTGAATGTGAGAGCGTATGGGTGTTTCCCAGTACCGGGTTGCGGCTGGAAGGGCATCCGCTGTGTAAAATATATGGCGGAATAGTTGGCGGTTCATTCAGTTGTGATGACCCTTGATAAATAAGGGACTTAGCCGAAGGAGAATGAATGAATGAACTTCAAGTTACAACGAGGTTACTAGGGGAAAAAAATCAATACCATTGTTTTGCAAACCAATACGAGTGTGAGTATTTTAATCTGCGTTCTTGCCGATACCGAGTACCAATTTCGATACTTTGCAGATTTGGTTTCAATGAAAGTGCAATTAATTTTAAAGGAGGATTTATTTTTTGCCTGAAGCAAGGATGAACACACAGATCATTAACAGAAGGCTATTCCATCCAGTAATATACACACATTGTTGATAACCCTGTAAACTGATAGACTTTATCGATTACCGATTGAGAAAGGACATTTAAAGGATAAGTTATTCTGGCGCCGACATGCGTCCACGACTTCACACATTACATAATCAAGTGTGTGCAGTTTACGTTACCTTATGAAGTCTATTATGACTTCAGTTATAAAGTCATAAGTTGAGTTAAGTCAATGAAGTCTTAACATTGCATATTGGGGATGCATACAACTCTGTTATGAGGGTTCTTCGTTATATTCGTGAGTCCTGCTGTTAACCCGTGGGTCAGGTTATCAAAAGTAGGCTATGATGTTAAACTATGGATGGGTCACAGCTTGATAAGATTATTGTTTATTCAAACTTTGACTACTTTCTTTAGAATATTAAGAGGTTTTAAGCGATTTTATCTTGACAGGCTGCCACAAATATGTAGTGATGTTCAGCTCTGACAAGGAGCTTTTATTTAGCCTGTAGTCTACTATATAATAATTTAGACTTTGTTCCATTACTTAAAAATCTTTAATGTTTATGGTGGCTTGAGAAAGCCAACATTCTGTTATACTACATAAACGTAGTATTCTTCCGTCTTCTTAGACTTAATTTCTATACGCATCTCCTCCTAGACCGTTCATACTACAACCACCAAACTAACACCAAACCTCCAAACTGGTCTGACTCTGATTTCAATATCTTTTCCAGCTGATCCGACTTAGTTTTCCGAAAACTGACCTGGAAAATTTGGAAAAGTCATATTGGACCAAACTTTATGACCTCAAAACTTTCCGCCAGGCCTTCATACAAACTTGCGCTTATTTAACTCAATTACCAATCTGCCAATTACTGATGACCTTTTAACTTACTAGCCACACCCTAGCAACCACTTACGACACCTTAGCAACTGTCCTATAGACTTTAATTGTAAGAAAAAAAACTGCCATTGACTTTACATTGGACACACTAACAACATACTAGTCTATAATAGCAATATAGTAATCATACTTGCAGCATGCTAATTCATACTATAAAAATTCTAGCATCATGCTAATTCATGCTAAATGTTTGCTAACACCAAGCTAGTTTATGCTAGAAAATGCTAGCGACATGCTAATTCATATTAGAACCTTGGTGACAACATGCTAATTCATACTAGAATCATGCTAATTTATACTAGCAACTACTTAGAACACCTTAGCAACCGCCTAGCAACACATTAGGAACCATCTAGCTACCACTCAACACCTTAGCAACAACCTAGAATACCTTAGTAACTGTCTAGCAACCACCAAGCAACACCTTAGCAACCATTCAGAACACCCTATGCCTTCGCAACCACCAAGCAACCACTCAAAACACCCTAGCAACACCTCAGCAACCGCCAAGTAACGTCTTACCAACCACCTAGCAACGGCTTAGCAACCTTTCAAAACACCCAAGCAATCGCCTAGCAACACCTTAGCAACCACCTAGCAAAGCTTTAGCAACCCCCTAGCAACACCATAGCAACTATTTGTGTTGTTGCATGATGCTTATGATTGCGTCAAGTGAAAGCCAAGGGGTGGGGGAATGCTTATGCTCACTTGAATTGAAGACGGTGGGGGTGGGGGCAGTTTGAGACCCCTGGTTTATAAGGACTATACTGTTAATATATATGCCATTAATTAATACATTAAGACAATGAAGTCAGGTAGGACAACAAATCACATCCACTGAGTGAAATGCTGTTGGGTGGTATTGGCATTTCATGTACAAGTACAAGTATTGATACGCATCGGTGTATAGTTTACCCTCTTTTTTAAGTAAAGTCATCTTGTCATTTCTAAGGCAATCGGTTACCTCACTTTTAAGTGAAGTAAGTAATCACTTTTTACAGTCTACTCCTTTTTTCTTTCCTAGTTTTGTGGACTCACCCCGGGGAAAACAGGAGCTGATCCACTGCCGTTGGAGAGCTCTGGGGAGCAGGCAGTGTTTCGGGAGGACGGGGACAGGCTGAGGTCCACAGCCGGTGGTGTGGGGGTCTCCAAGTTACTCCGTAAGACACCTGAGGACATACAAATACACCTCAATTATACTGTCTGAAATTGTACAGTTGAAGTCAGAATTATTAGCCCCCCTGTTAAACTTTTTCCTCAATTTCTGTTTAACGGAGAGAAGATTTTTTCAACACATTTCTAAACATAATAGTTTTAATAACTCATCTCTAATAACTGATTTGTTTTATCTTTGTCATGATGACAGTGAATAATATTTGACTAGATATTTTTCAAGACACTTCTATACAGCTTAAAGTGACATTTAAAGGCTTAACTAGGTTAATTAGGCAGGTTAGGGTAATTAGGCAAGTCATTTTATAACGATGGTTTGTTCTATCTGTGAAAAATATAGCTTAAAGGGGGCTAATAATTAAACTAAAATGCTTTTTAAAAACGTAAAAAACTGCTTTTATTCTAGCCAAAATAAAACAAATGAGACTTTCTCCAGAAGAAAAAATAGTATCAGACATACTGTGAAAGTGTCCTTGCTCTGTTAAACATCATTTGGAATTATTCTGCTTGTACTACTGTCCCCACACCTATAGATCTGTTCAGATGTTGTCTTTCAAGATATTAGTTGGGTTTTTTCCTCAGACTACTCCTGTGTGTAGCACTAGTTTTTTGCACATCTCATCCAAACGCAGTCCAAACCTGCCTGGAACTACTTTAGCTGTACATTTTTTCTGAAAACAATTGCACGCCTTCGAATGCCCTCATTTCTGTTTCCATGGTCTGTTGAAACTCTTGATTCTTATTGGCTGAAAAGTGTGCAGTTAAATCATTTAACACACAAGTACACTGTAAAACCCAACAGTCAACTTTATCAATTGAAATAAGTGTAGTTAACTCAAAATTGACAGAAAGTTAATTCTACTCATTTGAAAAGAGTTTTGAACTCAGTGTTGAAGGAAAGGAGTTAATTAAATACCTCATTACTTCAACTTAATTGGAGTAAGTTCACAGTACTCATATACAGGGCTTTACATTAACTTTTTTGATCACCAGCCACTGTGGCTAGTGGATTTCCAACATTACTAGCCACTTGCCATTTTCACTGGCCGCAATTTTGTTGTTTGGAAAAAATATTTTATATAAATAAATGTGACTTTGATATGCTAAAATGACTTGATTTAGATGTTGTGTTGTCCCAGAATTTGTTACTACACACAAATGGTTGGTTAATCTCATTTTAAATATTAAAGAAATGTTATTGTAAAGGATGATAATTAAACTATATTAACAAAAATAACTGTAAGCAAAAGAAAGCAGGTAAAATACCACAAGTGATAGTGAAAGGACGATCACGTGCCTGAGAATAATTAAAACGAAAGCAGTGATTGCTGCTGTTGCTTACAAATATATATATATATATATATATATATATATATATATTTAATCTTAAGCTCTTAAAAGCAGCAGGACAGTAGGTACATGAGCATCGTTTTTTGTCTAGTTTTTTCAAAAAGAACCGAACGCAAGTGAACGGAAAAAAGCGCAAGTAATCATCCTCTCATACGGTATTCACCTGCTTTATCTCGCTTGAACACAGTTGTTTTCAGTCGTGCTGTTTCTGGATTCTAAGATCACATTTGCACGCATATTGGGCCATCCTTATTGTCAAGTCGAACCTTGCTTTAAGAAAACTACAATGTAAAAATGATTTCTAACCTGCCAAAGTGGCTAGTGGGAGCGGCTGTCTTACCCGCCAAAGCTGAAATCTACCCGCATTTGGCGGGTTGGCGGGTGTTAATGTAAAGCCCTGATCATATAGATTAGTTTAACTCAAATGCTCTGTAGCAATCGGTTTCCTCAAACGGTTTAAGTTGCGTTAACTTACTGGGTTTTACAGTACTCAGTTGGTTTGAGTTCTGTTCATTTATTGGGTTTTACTGGAGAGGGTGCTCGCTGCAGAGCCATTTGAGGAGAGCTGAGCTCCAGCGAGGGGGAGCATGAGCTGTCGCTCTTCCTCCTGTAAGCTGTTTTAATGCGTACACCAACCCCACCCCTAACCCTACCCCCAGTGACATCACTCGTAGAAGAAGTGCAAAAAAGGTGGAGCTCAAGCTTAAGCTCCCCCTCGCTGGAGCTCAGCTCTCCTCAAATGGCTCTGCAGCGAGCACCACTTGTTTTACTGTGCTCAAATTGCTTCATTTACTCAAATGGATTAAGTTGGCAGCACTCATTAGGATTAGTTTTTGAACTTAAATGGTTTGTCGGCACCAATAGTCTAGTGGTTAATGCGTCGACATATAGCACCCAGGTGCTTGCGGCAACCTGAGTTAGATTCCCGGCACGAGGTCCTTTGCCGATCCTTCCCCTCTCTCTGCTCCCCATACTTTCCTGTCTGTAACTCTCCACTGTCCTGTCATTAAAGGTGAAAATCTCTAAAAAAAGATTAAAAAAAGAACTTTAATGGTTTAAGTTACCTTAACATTTTAGGTTTTACAGTGCTACTCCATGACAAATCAGGGAGTAAGGCGAAGAAAAGTGAGTGAGTAGTTCCAGTCAGTTTTATTTTTATCATGGTTTGAAATTGCCTCCGTGTGACCTCAAGAATACCAATGTGTGTTTTATTCTTGGGTGCTGATGAGGATTAACAAACTCACAAATATGCTTAAAAACATTTACGAAGAGGTAGCTAATACATGTTACTATAAGCTATTAGATATGCCCATGTCATATACATGCAGGCATATAGTATGTTTTCTCTCTTGCATGCATTTGTCTGCGACAGCTGATTCAAAGGGGAGATCTAAAATGTCAAAACTGATAATAATTCTGTTAAATATTGCACCGCAAAGAGCAAAACTAGATTATACTTGTTTATAACAAGGATATTAACCATGGAATAATCAACAGAAACTGTAGTGCATTTATAATTGCTACTTTTTTATGTTAAAGAGAGGATGAGACGTGAGACGCTGAATGTGTCTTGTCTACCTGTGTGTGGCGATGCAGGGGACGCTGGAACGATGACTGCAGTGCCGTCGTCTGCCATTCGCAGCTGCCCCGCCCCCTTGCCGTGGATTGGAGAGGAACTGAGAGTAGGCGGTGACCTGGCGCCTCTGTCCCGCCCACTGATCCACCCCCTCGGCACCTTCAGGTCCAGTGGCTCGTCTAAGGACAGCATGACAGCATGCGGTCCAGAGCCGGCAGCCTTTACAGACAGACACAGAGAGAGGAATAGAGGTGAGGAACATACACTACAATCCTACAACAGCAGCACGTGATGGAAAGAGTACTGAATAATCATACTCAAGTAAAAGAACCATTAGTTTCCAAGATATTTAATGCATGTAGAGTAAAACTATCTCTTCTATACACTAGTTAAAGGTCCTGTGATGTTCTTTGAAATGTGCATTTTTATTTGATGTTTGACGTAATCTGAGCTGAAACATGAAGAGAGGGCAGGACATAGTGTAGTTCCTCCCCTTTAAAAAAAACAGCCAATAGCGTTTAGTTTTTATCACAGCTCTGCCAGTGAGAGTGGTTGAGTTCATGGTGTGTTATCGCTGACTAATACTTAAATGAGTATGATGATCTGAAACATTAAAATGCGACAAAACAAAAAGAGAATAAAACAGTAAGGGGCAAATACTTATTCACACCACTATATATGTCAGAACGCTCAGTAGTGATTATTAACCACACTGAACTGAGCTAAACTGAACTGAACTTAAACACTGAAAACTGAATCACACTGTTTCAATCTACTATGATCTTTTATGAGAAGCTGCTTTGACACAATCTACATTGTAAAAGCGCTATACAAATAAAGGTGAATTGAATTGAATATATAAGTGGTTATCTTTGACTAATATTTAAATTATTATGATGATCTTAAACATTAAAGTGTAGTATTAATCAGTAAGGGGACACTTACTTACTCACACCACTATATATACTGTTCTCTTTGAATAATATTTAAATTATTATGATGATTTGATGTTACAAACATACAAAAAACAAAATCAGTGAGGGGGTAAACACTTATTCACACCACTATATTTACTGTTATATTTGACTAATATTTAAATTAGTTTGATGATTTGAACCATTAAAATGCGACAAACATACAAAACAAAAATAAATAAATCACTAAGGGGGCAAATACTTATTCACACCACTATATATTCTGCTATGTTTGACGAATATTTAATTTATTATGATGATCTGAACCATTAAAGTGCGACAAACATACAAAACAAAAATAAATAAATCAGTAAGGGGGTAAACACTTATTCACACCACTATATATGTGGTTATCTTTGACCTAATATTTAAATTATTATGATAATCTGAAGCATTAAAGTGTGACAAACATACAAAACAAAAATCAACAAATAAGTAGGGGGCACTTACTTATTCACACCACTATATATACTGTTATGTTTGACAAAAATGTAAATTATTATGATAATCTGAAGCATTAAAGTGTGACAAACATACAAAACAAAATAAATAAATAAGTAGGGGGCACTTACTTATTCACACCACTATATATACTGTTATGTTTGACTAATATTTAAATGATTATGATGATCTGAAGCATTAAAGTGCGACAAACATACAAAACAAAAATAAACAAATAAGTAGGGGGCACTTACTTTTTCACACCACTATATATACTGTTATGTTTGACTAATATTTAAATTATTATGATGATCTGATGCTACAAACATACAAAACAAAAAATAAACAAATCAGTAAGGGGATAAACAGTTATTCACATTACTATTAACACTGTCATCTTTGACTAATATTTCATTTAGTTTGATGATTTGAACCATTAAAATGCAACAAACATGCAAAACAAAAGGAAAATAAATCAGTAAGGGGGCAAATACCTTTTCATACCACTATATATAGTTATATTTGACTAATATTTAAATTATTATGGAGATCTGAAGCATTAAAGTGCGACAAAAATACAAAACAAAAATAAATAAATCAGTAAGGGGGGAAATACTTATTCACACCACTATATATACTGTTATCTTTGACTAATATTTAAATTATTATGATGATCTGAAGCATTAAAGTGCGACAAACATACAAAACAAAAATAAATAAATCAGTGAGGGGGCAAATACTTATTCACACCACTATACATACACATACACAAGCTCATATTTTTGGAGGTTTTTCTCCCTCTCTCTCTCTCATTGTCCTTCGGGAAAAAAAACCTCCTGGTTTCACGCAATCACTTCCACTAGTTTCCCGTTTCTCTCTCTTTACCTCAAACACACACATAGTGCTCACACTGCCAATTACAGACATTACAGCTTCCACATTCTTCCATGCAAAATAAAGCAACGCTCCACCTTTAACCACAGCTTCTTTTGTGCCTTTTATTTATAAATATATGAGCACATATTTGTGCGCCTGCCGTGCTGAATGGCTCTTTGAGAGAGTTCAACATGAGGAAGGTCAGCGAGGTGAAGGCTGTGGGTCACCGAGTTCAACAATCAGCAGATAAACACACACACAGAGAGCACTATTATCAAGCAGATCACACACACATACACTTGTGCAGCTATCTTTATGAGGACTTCTCATTGCTGTAATGATGTTTATCCTGTACATTTGGTATTCTATTCCTCTACTCCTGAATTCAACCCTCACAGGATTTAGTCTGCATTTTTACATGTTATTAATACACTCACTGGCCACATTATTAGGTACACCTGTTTAACTGCTTGTTAACACATATTTCTAATCACATGGCAACCATTTAATGCATTTAACCATGTGGGCATGGTCAAGACGATCTGCTGCAGTTCAAACCGAGCATCAGAATGGAGAAGAGAGGTGATTTAGGTGACTTTGAATGTGGCATGGTTGTTGGTGCCAGACGGGCTGATCTGAGTATTTCAGAAACTGTTGATCTACTGGGATTTTCACGCAAAACCATAACTCTAACTCTAACTGTATTACTCTAATACTGTAAGTAAATCTCTAATACTCTAACACACTGTAACTCAAATAATCACTTGTTACAACCGAGGTATGCAGAAGAGCATCTCTAAACGTACAACACGTCCAACCTTGAGGCAGATGGGCTACAGCAGCAGAAGACCACACCGGGTGCCACTCCTGTCAGCTAAGAACAGGAAACTGAGGCTACAATTCACACAGGCTCACCAAAATTGGAAGATATAAGATTGGGAAAACGTTGACTGGTCTGATGAGTCTCGATTTCTGCTGCCACATTCGGATGGTAGGGTCAGAATTTGGTGTCAACAACATAAAAGCATGGATCCATCCTCCCTTGTATCAACAGATCAGGTTGGTGCAGGTAGTGTAATGGAGCGGAGGATATTTTCTTGGCACATTTTGGGTTCATTAGTACCAATTAAGCATGTCAACACCACAGCCTATCTGAGTATTGTTGCTGACCATGTCTATCCCTTTATGACCACAGTATACGCATCTTCTGGTGACTGCTTCTAGCAGGATAACGCGCCATATCATAAAGTGTGAGTCATCTCAGACTGTTTTTTTGAACACGACAATAAGTTCAATGTACTTAAATGGCCTCCACAGTCCCCAGATCTCAATCCAATAGAGCACCTTTGGGGTGTGGTGGAACGGGAGATTCACAGCATGCATGTGCAGCTGACAAATCTGCAGCAACTGTGTAATGCTATCATGTCAATATGGACGAAAGTCTCTGAGGAATATTCCCAGTGCTTTGTTAAATCTATGCCACGAAGGATTAATGCATTTCTGAAGGCAAAAGCGGGTCCAACACAGTTCTAGTAAGGTGTACCTAATAAAGTGGCCGGTTTGGTTAATGTAGTCTTTCTGTTTTATGTAGGAACTGTTTTAGGAAAATGTCACCACGAGGTCAATTTACTATTCTATCCGTTTTCTAGACATTGGGTAAACAATGTAAGGAGTACAATTTTGACAATAAGGAGTTAAAAGGAAAAGCTTTGAAGTACAACGAGAAAAAGGAAACTATTATTTTTCATCATATTTCCCCAGTTGATTGATTATATATGAAATTGTAGACTTGTGTCTGTTGTGAGATGCTGTTTAAATATGCAAATGAGGCATTGTTTAATTAACTATTACCTATTTTGCATAACTTTCTAGCACAAAGACCGTTGAAAGTCATGTTCAATATGTTTATTTTATTTTAAAAACCTGATGCATAAAATGAAGTCCTCTGCACATTTTTCTAGTCTCAAATTTCCACAAACAGAAAAATCTGATACTTTAGTAGCAAAATGGGCTTTTTTAGGGTCTGACGGTAAGCTCACAATCCATAATAAAGTCGAGTTACAAAGCAGCGAGTCTTCATCTGTCATACTGAGCCACGATTACACTGAAAATCATTAACTAAACCCTTAACATACCACACATATCACATCTGTGACCGCACCCCTGTCTGAGATACACTGACCTCTCACTTCAGGACACACACACACACTCCAAACAAACTCGCAGACGTGGAGATACTACAGATTGCACATTAACTCCAGCAGAGATGTAACCTGTTTATGCTTCTGAACAATCGCTTGCCTTTTTCTGGCTGAGATAGTTGCTGTAAAATGGCCTGTGTGTGTTAAATTGGAGCATTTAAGGCTTTAGTTTTGATATCCAGGATTTAATCTAAATAAATCATTTAAAATGCACTTTTAAGTGTTACTTATTGAATTTTTCTCAATTTGTTGTCTGAAGGTCTTTACAAAGGGATTTGCTCATGCATAAATTTGCCTGATTAAAGATTATAGGCGGCACGGTGGCTCAGTGGTTACCACTGTCGCCTCACAGCAAGAATGTCACTGGTTTAAGCCCCGGCTGGGTCAGTTGGCATTTCTGTGTGGAGTTTGAATGTTCTCCCCAGGTTGGCGTGGGTTTCCTCCGGGTGCTCCGGTTTCCCCAACAGTCTAAAGACATGCGCTAGTACGAAACGTTTCTAGTACTGGATTGCAGCTGGAAGGGCATCCGCTGCGTAAAACATATGCTGAAATAGTTGGTGGGTCATTTCGCTGTGGAAACCCCTAATAAATAGGGGGCCAAGCCGAAGGAAAATGACATTGACCATGGAAAAGGATGATCAATATCCATTACAGTAGCTTCCACCCTCCCGGTTCAGAAGTTTCCACAACAATAGAGCGGCTGCAGCTCCATGTGTAAACCATTACT